TTGGGCAAGAAAAATAGGACACAGTTTTGTTTGGGTGTCCGTAATACCAAACCTCATGAAGTTTACTAGAATGTGATGGCTGGGTTTTCTAGCATTTTGACTTCAGAAATATGCTAATAGAGACCTTTAAGGCCAACTTGATAATTCTTGCTTATTTTAACATTTTGATGTTCAGGGAAGACAGTGAATTTATGACTGGAAAAAGCTAGCTCTGTTCTTTAGTAAACAATGTTATACTTAGCCTGAGCATATACACACTTTGATATTCTAGTTACAGATAAATGTATAACCTGTAATAGGTGTATGTTGCAAATACAGTTTAATACAATTTGTTGTAAGATCTTGGCTATTCACTCTAGTGACCTTTTGTCTCATGTATACTATTCTGGGGCAGTATTTATTGAATCTCAAAATGACTGTCATTGTAAATCCCCTTATCTGATATTTACATATTTGATTTGTTTTCAGGATATAAAAATTCAATTAAATTTTATACATTAACTTTGTATGATGTAAAGTTTAAAATTACTCAGTTCTAGTAGTCGTTTATTTGATTTAGGGCATTTTTTTTCTGCTTTTCTGAGACCTAATACTGCTAAAAAAGACTGAGGAAAATTTTATTTTCTTTCCCTGAATGATACTATTTCCTTATATTTGATATTCAGTATAGATTCACAAGGCTAGGTCTTATGATCAATCTTATGAAAGAGCATTTTTCCCCTGAAAATTGGTTATTCAAGCTACAGATAAGGTGTCCCTTTATTTTTTTCCTCAGTTGTTTCATTCACTCTACTAATCACATTTTCCCCATCATTCATATTTTATTGTTGTGGTTGTTGTTTGAGTCCGAGTGTCGCTTTTATCACCCAGGCTGGAGTGCAGTAGCGAGATCTCAGCTTACAGCAATCTCCACCCGACAGGTTCAAGCAATTCTCCTGCCTCAGGCTTTCTAATAGCTGGGATTACAGACGCCCACCACGATGACTGGATAATTTTGTATTTTTAGTAGAGTCAGGGTTTCACCACGTTGGCCAAACTGCTATCAAACTCTTAACAGGTGATCCACCTGCCTCGGCCTCCCAAAGTGCTGGGATTATAGGCATAAGCCACCACACCCAGGATCATATTTTGTTATGTATATTTCTAGTTTCATTGTCAGAAAACCAAATAATAATAGATTGAATTTTAAGGCAAAATATAATTAAACGATTATGTTTTTCTTTATGGTAGAGTTTACTGCATGTTCTCACTCATAGGCGGGTGTTGAACAATGAGAACACATGGATACAGGGAGGGGAGCATCGCACACTGGGGTCTTTTGGGGGGAAATAGGGGAAGGACAGTGGGGGATGGGGAGTTGGGGAGAGAGAGCATGGGGAGAAATGCCAGATATAGGTGAAGGGGAGGAAGGCAGCACATCACGCTGCCATGTGTGTACCTATGCAACAAGCTGGCATGTTCTTCACGTGTTCCCCAAAACCTAAAATGCAATAAAAAAAATACATTTAAAAAAAATTAAAGGATTCATGTGGAATTAAAATTAATTCACCTAATTAGGTACTGTGTCTTAAATCTGTTCTCTATGCTATTTTTTTTAAAAAAGCTATGTGATATGTTTCAGAGAACTAAACAAAAATCTTATTTTTAAAATATTTAAGTTGAAATAAAATATTCAAGAAAATTATATGCCACCATGTCATTATCTTTATCATTAGTGATATTGAATTGTTGCACTGTATTATCAAATGTACGGTTGTCTGGACCATGTTAAATAATTTTTTGACATAGACCATCTTTACAAATATGAAATGTTAATGTATATCCTGTGTAGATGTCAACATTTCTTAACATATTTAAGATAATTGGAGGAAGTAAAAAAACATGAATAATGTTGCACAGATTGTACCTGTTTTATCATTTCAGATCAAGCTAAATCTATATTTGACTTTTTTGTTTCTCTCCCAACCAAACTTATGATTTACAAAAAAAATTCAGTACAAATTTTTACATGACAACACAGTGTTTTTCTGCTGCGGCATATTACAAGACTCAGTCAAATTAAAAGTGCTTCTGTCAGTTTCTAAATCCAGAACGCAAAATGAAGCTTTGTTTCATCCCTAATATTTCCAGGAATTGCTTCAGTTTCCTTGAAGGTATAATGCTTTTTTTTTTCTTTTTTCTGTGAATATATTTTTTCAAACTATATAATTCTATTGTGTTTAGTTTGCTGCTTTTTTGAAAAATTATATAAAGTTAACATGTTTTCTTTTTGTAGATTGGTTCACTTTCTTGACATATTTACTTTCACACACAGATAGTCCTATTCCATTTTGCAATGATGAAATAGTAATAGACATAGGATTTTCAATGCTCTTTTTCTGATTTGTGTTGTCTGCATTTTTTTCCTAAAATTCAAAATTTAAATAATGTTCTAAATTTCATTGGATTTTATTATTTTCCCTCTTCTGACTTTGTATCTCATATGACAATATCAGACAATATGTCCAAATCCTTTCAACTCCACTGAAATTAATACAGCCTTTCTATAATCTTTTTTGAATTCTGCATCGTGTTAAACATTAAAGGCAATGTCATGGTCAAGTCCCCATATTGTCTTTCAATTTGTACAAATTATTCTGTGGTCTTCTTTCACACGACACGAGTTTGTTGGTACTCCTAATATCCTTGTAGCTATATATTTGGTTTTGGTTTGGGAGGTGGTGTTTCAGCAAATACTGTTTAATAAACTTGCATTATTTTCTTGTGTAAAAATAAGTTCTGTTTATGTATTACAGAGCATAGTGACTATAGTTAATAATTTAACTACAGTTATCATTTATAAGCTATCAATGATAGTTTATATAATTATAGTTTATTTATTTGTTTTTAGGTCCTGACTACAAATAAATGATAACTATGTGAAGTGATGTACATGTTAGTTAGCTTGATTAGATCATTTCACCATGCATATATGTATGAAATAATCACATTGTACCCCATAATGTCAATTTAAAATAAAATAAGATAAATAGTAAACATCTAATTTCCTTAAAATTCACCTTGGCTTTTTGGCAATTTAAAATGGAAACATATAATTTATTGGTTTGTTCATATACAAATAAAATATTTGTATGAATATTATATGTGCATATAGAAAGAGGAAAAAAAGAGAGAGGTCCTACTAACCTATAGAAATCAGTAAGCTTTTTTTAAAAAAGCAATAAATGTAGGAATTAGAATTTCTAAATCCCAAATAAAGATAAGAAGATAAAAGATTTCAAGATGACTCCACATAACTTTATCTGGGGATATATAATGTTTTGTCACTTATTTGAAAGTAACATATTTCCTGCTGATTTAAATTTGTTACTTTTTTATGATGCTCATCAATTTTACTCATTTTCGTGTTTGCATTCATTTTTATTTATTCTACACGTATCATAGTTGTGCTCCTTTTTGTGCTAGACATTTTAATAATCATTCGAAACATGACACTTAATTTAATTAACTTTTCTAGTTTTTTTCATTCATTTTCTCATCTATTACACACATATTCTGTCTGGCTTCCTTTCCATGACTATGGACATATTTCTCCAAAAATCTTGAAATTATTCATGACAAATATCTCAAATTAAACATTTAATCTATGAGCAAATCCTTAAACAGTTAACCATCTGTCTCAAAGCTGAAATCCATAGAGTAGACTACATATATGCTACATAGATGATGCCATATATATGCCCTTCCGTCCCTGTTCTTACAACTCTAATCTTGCCTCTTCTAGTTGGTGACAATGTTACTACCGCACTTCATCTACACTGACTTCCCCATTGTCTCTGGAATAGTCAAATAGCTCCTGCATTAGGGCCTTTGCACTTACTGCTGTTTGTCATGGAATTGCTTATGTCTAGTTATCAATTGTTTTGATTGTTAAATGTCACATATTTGAGACCTATGGCATCCCTTTAATATTATACCTTCTCTCCAATTTTCTTCTTTCCCTCATTTTCATATGTTTGTCTCTTCGGCATTTATACACTCATATATTTTGTATATTCGAGGAATTTTATGGGCTTGACACTTACTCGTATTATGTCAGGCAATAAGTTTACCACGCTGAAAGTAGTTTGCATATATGATAGAGTAAATGAGGCTAAATTCATTTTAGGTGTTGTGTAAAGGCCTAAGGCCATTAAAGACTATATTCTAGTTATATGTTAATACCCTATAACCACAAAAAAATCCAAAAAATGAACTGTTTCAAAATGTGACATTTTTGAGTGAGCATACTTACAAAGTTATTTAAATCAGACTTCTGAATAATGATAGCAAGCTGGAAATTAGTATCTAGTTCATCTTCCTCCCAAAACCATTGACACACGAATCAGAAATACATTTACCATGAAGCCAGTTAATCTTAAACTTAGGGCATATAAATTGCTTAGGACTGCTTCCAAAATTCTGTATCAAACTTCCTATTTTATTCATATTTTAGTCATTTATTTTTATTTAAAGTCAATAAATTTTTATTCAAGGAATTCTATGTTGTGATTCTTCCACTGTCCATCAAGGTCACTTTAGACCCTCTGAAGAGCTGGAGTCAAAATTTATTTTCAAAAAATTTATCTTCAAGTTAGCTCTGTTTAATGAAACTGATGCTTATTTTAATCCAGTAGTCCTGTCAGTCAATAATTATTTTATTTTGGCTTCTGTTATCTCCTTTTAATATGGATATGCTAATGAAGACTTCAAAATTTACCAAGAAGATTTGGGATCTGATATCTTCAACCAATTTAGTTTAGGGCCACTTTTAGTGTAGGTAGATCTTCCTGGTTCTCATTTTGACACCCTCTCTAAACATGAATGAGTTCAAATGATACTCTTTTCTAAGTAATCACACTCAAGAATAATACAGATGTGTGGCATATGCCAATACCTAAGGTAAAAAAGGTTTTCATATTTTTCATATGTTTAGTAACTGCCTTTTTCATGCTTTTAGCAACTGTCTTGTAGTTCTTTCCCACAAATCTAACAATGGTCCTGTGGGTAAAATGAAACTGCAGAGTTAGTCTATGAGGCATTTCCAATTTATTCATATTTTAATATTATCTTTTTTTAAAAAGGACCTCACTCACAAACTGTATAATCTTAATGTATCACAAAACTATAGTTGCTTTTGAGAGTAAGATAAAGGTTGATTTTTAAGACAAATCTCATATCTTCAATGAATAATTAAAAAACAAACAAACAAACAAACAAACAAACAAAAACAATGAAAGCCAGGCGCGGTGATTCACGCCTGTAATCCCAGCACTTTGGGAGGCCAAGGCGGGCAAATCACAAGGTCAAGAGATGGAAACCATCCTGGCCAACATGGTGAAATCCCGTCTCTACTAAAAAATACAAAAATCAGCTGAGCATGGTGGCGCGCACCTGTAGTCCCAGCTACTCGGGAGGCTTGAGGCAGGAGAATTGCCTGAACCCAGGAGGCGGAGGTTGCGGTGAGCCGAGAATGTGCCTCTGCACTCCAGCCTGGCACCTGGTGACAGAGCAAGACCCTATCTCAAAAAAAGAAAAAAAGCAATGAAATGTTGAACAATGAAAAGTAAATAAGTGAGTGGTAAATTAAGAAGCTATAAAATAGGAATTCCAAATTGGCAGTGGAGAAGATTAATAATCAAATGTATTTATTTGTAATACAGAATACTTTAAAGATTCATGAATTGACAGCATCTCATACCTCTGAAAGTAGTGGTAATCCAGGGATCAGAAAACTAGAATAGTCACTTAAAATCTATTCAAGAATGAGTAGCTTCCTGAGTTTCTTCCTTGACTGCATTCAGCCACATGACTAACAGTCCCTCAAAGAGAGAGAAGAATGCCAGTTTGTTCCCTGGAAGTGATAAAGAACAGGACTTATTAAGGAGGATAACTCGGTCACTTTTTTTATTTTTATTTTTATTTTTATTTTTATTTTATTTTATTTTTTGAGGCGTAGTCTCACTGAATCGCCCTGGCTGGAGTGCAGTGGCACGATCTCAGCTGACTGCAACCTCTGCTTCCCAGGTTCAAGCAATTTTTGCCTCAGCCTCCTGAATAGCTGGGATTACATGTGCGTGCCACTATGCCCAGCTCATTTTTGTATTTTTAGTAGAGAAGCCAAGTGTTGTGAATTGTTAACTGTTAGGCTGATTCAGACATTTTTGTAGGCAGAGGTAATAGACCAAAAACAGAAATAAGTATGCATGCAAACCAAAAGCTGATGCCCATCTTTACTTTCACCCTATCCTCTACTATCAAACAAACATCTTTTGGGAGTAGTTCCCAGAAAAACTGACCAGCCCAAAATGAAATACTAAAGAGATTGTCAGTGAAGCCTCTCCTGCATGCACCATTCCTGTAAATGTTCACTCTGTGGAAACAATAACATAAGTCAGAAAGTTAATAAAAATATTGACTCTGTGATATAAAGTAGGATACTATAAAATGGGTATTTGGAGAAAAATGGAAATTAAAAGCATGATAGTGATATATGTATGTATACATACATATATATGTATACATATATAATGCTCAGAAGACAGAGCTGTAGAAATAACTTAGAAAGTCAGAGATGTGGAGTATAGAAGACAAAAGGGAGGACCAGTGGAACAGATTAAGCATAAACATACAGATTGCAGGAACCTTTCCTGCAAGAAAACAGTGCAGGAAACCCTTAATATGATCGTGAAAATAGGTCCGGACTAAAGAACACTTGCTAATTCAAAGAGTCCATTGAGGCCCGAGCCCTGGGCAAGAATATAGACTTTTGCTAGGGTAGAATGTTAAGAAACTTTAGAACACTGGGGAAAAAAAAGAGTAATCTGCAATTTGAGAGGATGAAGGAGGGAAGTATAGAGAGAGAGAGAGAGGTCAGATATGGATCACCTGAAAATATAAGAAATCAAAAAACCTCATATTTCTGAACAACAAAATAGAAAGCTAAAAGTAATTAACAGTAATGAAATAATTGTCCTCATTATTTTGAAGTTAAATTATTTTCCATCTAAATATTACAGTCATCTAAACTATCAATTATGTGTTAGCATAAAAGTATTTTCAGGTTTCAATGTATCAAACATTTGTCATTCACGTATCCTTTTTCAAGGAGAAGAGAATATATTGAGAATATTACAGTGATAGTTAAATTTTTTAATGAATATATAATACAAATGTATGAAGTGCATGTGATATTTTGATACATGGATACAATACAAAATGATTAAATCAATACACTTTGGATCTTCACTACTTTAAACATTTATCATTCATTTGTGTTATGAATTTTTCAAATCTCTTCCTCAAGCTACTTTGAAATGTGCAATAACTTATTATTAACTATATTCGCCCTACTGTGCTATCAAATACTAGAACTTATTTCTTCTTTGCAACTGTATGTTTATACCCATTAACCAGCCACTCTGCACCCCACCCCTCTCAGCTTCTGGTAACCCTAATTCTACTCTCCACCTCAATGACATCAACTTTTATATCTCTCACATATGAGTGAGAACATGCAACATTTATCTTTCTATGCCTGGTTTATTCCACTTAATTAAATTGCCTCTAGTTCCATTCATGTCATTCAACATAATAGGAATTCATCACTTTTATGGCTGAATAGTATTCTACCGTATATATACACCACATTTTCTTTATCCACTCTTCTATTGATGAGTACTTAGATTGCTTTCATATCTTGGCTCTTGTGAATAGTGCTGCAATACACTTGGTGTGTTAATTTAAGTAAGCCAGACAGTACCCACATTATATACTGTTTCTGGGTGTCTGCGACAGTAGATTCTGGATGATATTGGCATTCAAGTTGGTGGCCTTATTAAATAGGGTGCCCTCCCCTAAGTAGTTGGGCATCAGCCAATCTGTTGAGGGCCCAAATAGAACAAAATGTGAAGGAAGGAGGAATCCACTCCTTATCCCCCTGCTTCCTCATTGAGCTGGGATATCTCATCTCATCTTTTCTAAACCTTTTACTGGAATTTGTATCATCAGTGCTCCTAGTAATGGTGGCACCAGCCAATCTGGAGCAGCCGCTGTTGGGGCACCAGCAGCAGCAGGGGAGATGCAGTCAGGTCTAGGACTAAGTGGGAACCCCTCCAGCTACTGAATTGGCAGGGTGGGCCCCATGCTCCCACGTGCAGCCACCCAGCCACAGCTCCAGACCCAGGTATCCCTGTGCTCTCTCTCAGGGGGCCAGAAGTTCCCTGCCCCTTCAGGCTTGAAAGGGCCTGCTCCCTCTCCAGGGCCTCTCCCCACTCCCAGTGCCTGCTCCAGGGCAGAGCAAACTTGTGGCCAAGCCCAAATGCTGTCAAAACCAGGCCAGGTATGCTGACATACCAGTGTGCTGACAAACGAAGTGCTGTCAAAACCTGGCTCAGGACAGTGTTGACATACCAGCCCCTGTCACCTTGACCACCTCTTGACTTTGAGCACAAAAGAGCACAGGATTGGGTTGAGGGTGGCTCAGCACAGGTCTGTGAACTCCTTTCTGTGTGGATAGCCTGGGCACCATGGATGGCATGTTGAAGGTAAACAGGTTCCTAGGCGGGAAGGGGTGGGTCCCCAGTGAAACCTCAACTTCAGGCCAGGGAGGGCCTGAAGCCTAGGGGTCAGGCTCAGTTCTGGGCAAAGTCAGTGGCCCAGAGTGAGAACTTCATTGATGACTGTTCAGCCAATCAGGTGGTGGTTTTTCCAGGACTACTGGTGGCCACCCATGGACCAATCACCTCACACTTCCTTCATTTTGAAAGCATAAAAATCCCAAACTCAGCCAGACTCATACTATTGCTGGGATGACCCACCCATGGAAAGGAGCGCCCCACTCTGAGTCTCCTGAGAGCTGTTCTGTTGCTCAGTGAAGCTTCTCTTGGTCTTGCTCACCCTCCAGTTGTCTGCTCAACTCATTCTTCCTCTTCAGAGGATAAGAACTTCGGACCCACCAAATGGTGGAACTAAAAGAGGTATAACACAAACAGAACTAAAAAGGCATCCCCCACTGTAGGGAGTCCATGAGCCCCACACGTTGGTGCACCAGAATGTAGGGATCCATCAGCCCCACATTGGGCACCAGAATGTAGGGAGCGAGCCCTACATCACCCGTGGGTACCCCAAGTTCCGTGGCGGAACATGAGGCATGAAGAGGCCATCCTCCTCAGAGGTTTCCTGATGCCTTCTGCAGTTTGTTGTTCCTTGTTTATATGTTACTCATAACCAATTTATTAGGCACTCTGTAAGTCCTTTCTCCTTTGCAGTGTTTTCCAACACCTCACTTGCCATGTTGTGGGCAACGAGGAGAAAAAACTACAGTCCTTCTGGGATCCCAGACCTCAGCACTTCCTAAGCCAAGGCTGTGACACACTGTAACACCCTCTCTGGGGCTCTGCAGACCCTGGCATCTCTGAGTTTTCAGGTGCCATCACATTCCCCTTGTCCAGACACTGGTTATAGCAGCCAGAAGCCACTTGCAGTACATCTGGTCCAGCTGTAGGCTTACATGGAGCCAGTGCCTACACTGGCACCTGGAGCTGCCCACCCTGCTGCAGCTGGTGCACCTGGCTGTGCACAGTGGCTGAACCCCATGCTCACTTGCTCACATACCCCTCATCACGCCCTTCCTGGCTCAGCCTTGGCAGGTGTGGGATGTAAGTTGGTACTGTGAGCCGAGAGCGGCCTGCAAGGCTAGGTGGGCAGAACAAGCCCATTGGGCACCAGCAAAACCCAAGCAGAGGTGCCACGGATCTCAGAGGTTTCTAGCTGGTGAAAAGACACTGTAAGGATCCTGTGACCCCAGTTCTCAGTCCTTAGATGGAGACTAAATTAAACACTGGCTTTCATGAATTTCTAGCTTGCAGATGGCAGATTCTGGGACTTTTCAGCCTTTATAACTGTATGACCCAATTCCTTATAATAAATCATGACAGAAGATAGATTGATAGCTCTCTAAACATGCACACACACACACACACACACACACACACACACATACACACCACAAACACACCTTATTATTTCTATTTCTCTTGAGAACTCTGGCTTATATAATGATGTGTGTCATGCTTTATCTCCTAGAAAGCGT